ATAATGTCCTCCAGGGCCACCCATTTTGTGCATAATATTTCATGAGTTCCTTGTTTTACAATGCTGCATAGTATTTCCTTGTGTGACTATACCACAGCTTCTCTATCTATTTGTTTGTTGATGGGCACTTGGGTTGTTTCCATCTCTTTGCTATTGTAAACAAAGCCCTAATAACCATGGTTGTGCATATATCTGTTTGGGTGGTAGTTCTGATTTCTTTAGGGTATATTCCCAGTAGTGAAATTGCTGGGTCAAATGGTATTCTTATTTCCAACTTTTTGAGAAAGTGCCATATTGCCTTCCATAGTGGCTGCACCATTTTACATTCCCACCAACAGTGAATAAGGTTTCCAGTTTCTCCACAACCTTGACAACATTTGTTGTTTGCTGTTCTGTTGAATTTTGCTATTGTTACTGGGATGAGGCGATATCTCATAGTTGTTTTGATTTGCATCAAAATTTGAACATTTCTTCATGTGTTTGTTTGCCATCTGAATATCTTCTTTGGTGATGTGTCTGTTCATATCCTGTGCCCATTTTTCAACTGGGTTGTTTACCTTTATCTTGTGGTGCTAAAGTATACTATAAATTCAAGATACAAGTCCCTTAACAGACATGTCATTACCAAATCTTTTTCCCAGTCTGTGGTTTTCCTTTTTACCCTGCTGAAGAAGTTTTTGATGCATATAGGGATCTGATTCTTAGAAGGTCCCACTCATTCACCTATTTTGTCCTCTCCTGGTTATAGGTGATTTTTTTAAGTGAGCTGAGGGAATAGGAAGAAAAATGTGCAACAATGAATAAAAATCCAACTTTTCTATAAACTTTCATTAATATCACAATAAAAAGAACTACATGTTCACTTAAAAAAAAAAAGAAGAAAGAAAGAAACTCTTATTTGCTGTGGAAAGGAGAGCAATGAAAACTTCCCAAAATCAGATCTGAGGACTAGAAAGCAGTGATACGGGGTCAGCTGGAGCAGGGGAAAATGCTATTAACCATGTTATAGGTCTGGTGGCTTAGTGGGTAGGAAGTTGCACTATTAACCCCAAAATGAGCAGTTTGAATCCATGACTTGCTCTGAGGGAGAAATAAGAGCAATTTCCCACGTAATTTACAGCCTCTGGAAACCTCTGGAGGATCAGTTACAAGTTGGCCCCGACTCAAAGCAATGAGTAAAAAAAATCCATAGTGTAGCATGGTTTAATATTTATATTCGTAATGATGATCCTTGGCAAAAGAAAAAAGTTAAATTCTGTTTACTGGATTCTTCTTATTATGACAAGGAAATATACTTTATGGCTAGATGAGTAGCATCATTTTAAGATTTAAAATTAACTTCAGTTAACTGGGGGTGGAGGTGGGAGTGTCATCAACTCAGTCAGGAATGTTGTATTCTTCAGCTAAGAGGTCTCTGGAAGAGGTTATGGTTCTTCAGACAGTGGGTGGGTGACATCGTTACATAAACAAGAGGTAACAGAAGGTAACAGAAGCATGGCCTGTGAATCAACTTGAATTGTTGTTACTTCATTTAAACAAATGAAAAGCACACAGTGAAACCTTCTTTTAACCTAACTCTGAAGGAACTATAATATTTCTTCATTTAGAAAGATGCTTACCTGGTTAGAATAAGAGAAACATGGCCTCGTAAGAAATTAGTTTTATGTTTAAGGTTAAAAATTGGTTTTACTGAAGAAAAAAAAACCCAACTCTGATTGTATCTATTAATACAATTTCTGTTACAAAACATTCAATTATATACTATACTCAGCATGTATCACTGATGCTCGAAAAATAATTTGCTTGCATTTTGTTCTGCAGAAGAGAGACACAGAGAGTAGATAGGGATTTCTGACCTGGGGTTATTTATCCAAACTCAAAAAACTATGAACTCTTTGGAACACTTGGATTCCTACGATGTTCCTGTTGATTCCTCAAGCCAACAACAGTAACAAGCAAAATACTGCTGCTGAGAGTGTACACATTTTGTTTTCTCAAGATCTAAAATCTTTTCAAGACTGTGCCCAATGATATCACTATGCCGAATAAACAGGCATAGGTCCGTTGGACCTCCAAGTCAGTAGATATCAGATCTCTCCAGCAGTGCTCCTAACTATGATCTATCTCAGCATCTATGCACTCAGATAGGCAGCTGGCATGGCACCAACAGGTTCCACTTAGCAAACAGGCCAGTGACAGCAAGATCCCCTCCAGAAAATCCCTACACAACAGCACTGCACAACAAGTCAAGTGGCCGCTTGCCTTTCAGCAAGCACCCTGACTACTCCTGCTGTTTTAACCAAGACTGCCAATAGATACCAGGAGCTAAGGTTTCTCACTGAGCCTTCTTGCCTGAGGATCCTTCCTCACTATCTGGAACGAAATCCAGCATCTTTCCTCAGCTTAGTTCCCTTGCTACATACAGTAACTTGTTCAGGTTTCCAGCTAAACAAAAGGGAATAATATAAACATTGTGGTGGTGGTGTACTGTCAAGTTGGAAATGACCCACAGCTGACCATCCAGCAGGTTTTCAGAAGCAGTTATGGGAGGAGATTACCCTTCAGGGATTAAAACTATGTGTCTTTGGGATTGCTGAGCAGCTTCGTATCACTAGGCAATCAGAGCTCTCTAATTAGGAACAAAAATAAAAGTCTCAAAGCATGTATCAAAAATTTCCACAAACTACAAGTATCTCTACTTAATTACAGTTCACTATAATTTATGTATTGTGTTCTGTCAAGTCGGTACCAGTTCATAGCTGACTCTATAGTGGATTTTCAGAGGCATGGGAGCAGATAGCAGATGTGAACCACCTGCCTTTGGGTTGGCAGTGCGACTCCTTACCACTAGACCATCAGAGCTCAGTATTTACAATATAGAAATCAGAGTATGTTTTCTATTGGAAAAAATATGTTTTATATCTGTTGCCAAGGACCTCCTTAAAGTGCTAATGAACAAAGATGTCTATTTTAATAGATTAAGGTGTATCTTACCAAAGGCACTAATTATCAGTTACTTCAGATGTAGATGAAAGTTTGACAACGAATAAGGAAGACCAAAGAAGAACCGATGCCTTTAAATTGTGGTGAAATACTGAATATGCCAAGGATGATTCTAAAGAACAGACAAATCTGCCTTGAAAGAAGTGAAGCCCAAGGGCTGCTTGCTTTGTCACACATATTTTGGGCAAGTCATCAGGAGGGGCCAGTTGCTGGAAAAAGGCTACATCTTGGAAAAACAGAAAGTCAGCAAAAGAGAGGAAGACCCTCAATAAGATGGACTGACAGAGATTGCAACAACGCATTTAAGCACAGCAGAGATTGTGAGGAAGGCACAGGGTCAGGTAAGGTACTGTTCCACTGAACACTAGGTACTAGTGAGCTGGAAACACTTGATAACAGTAACAACTAATACTGATTTTGGGGAAAGATACATGTTATTGTTATGAGCCAGTATCACTAATTCCAACATATAAACCCCCATCACCCCAGTTACTGTATCAATCCATCTCATCTGTGGTCTTCCTCTCCTGTATTTCCAAAAATGATGTCCTTCTCCAAGGACTGGTATCTCCTGGCCACGTGCTCAAAGTATGTGAGATGGAGCTTCAAAATCCTAGACTTCAAGGAGAGACTTGTTTTCACCCTCTCCAAGAGAGACTTATTTGCTTTCTTGCAAATAGTGTCTATGGTATTTTCAAGACTCTTGTCCAGCACCACAACTCGAAGGCATCTATTCTTCTTCTGTCATCCTTAGTCATGGTCCAGCTCTGATGTTCTCTTCGCAAGCAACTGCAAAGAGTATGGCCTGGATTAGGCGTACCTTAGTCTCTAGACAGACATCGTTGCTTTTCAGCACTCTGGAGAGGTCCATGACAGCAATTCATCTTTTCATTTCCTGCCTACTGGTACTGACTGTGGAGCAGAGCAAGCTGTAATTGTTAACAACCTCAATCTCTTATGGAGCTGCCAATAGGCCCAGTGGTGAGAATCTTCATCTTCTTGATGTTGTGCTTCAATCATATTGAAGACTACAGTCCTTGACCTTCTGCAGCAAGCACTTCAGGTCTGTCTCAGTTTCAGCAAGCAAGGTTGTGTCATCTGCATAATGTAATTTGTTTATGATTCTTCCTCCAATCCTGACGCCACATTCTTCCTCTTAAAGCCTGCTTCCCGTATGATCTGTTCTGCATATAGACTGAAAAGGTATGGAGATATAGGACGCACGCCAGACATACTCGTTTCCTGATTTTTTTGAACCATGCATGTCTCCCAGATCTATTCTGAGGGCTGCTTCTTGGTTCAAGTAAAGGTTTTACATAAGCACAATCAAGTGTTCTGGGATTCCAATTTTCCTCAAGGTTAGCCACAATTTGTGTGATCCACACTGTCAAATGCTTTTGCATAGTCAATGAAACATAGATAGACTTTCCTCTGGTATTCTTTTGCCAAGATCCATCTGATATTGGCTATAATGTCTCCAGTGTCACAACCTCTTCAAAACCCAGCTTGTATTTCTGGTAGTTCTGTCAAGCTGTTTCTGGGTAATCTTCAGCAGGATTTTGGTAGTGTGTACAGACATATTTTTACTCAATCCACACCTACCCCACAAAATACCCATGAAAACCATACACCTTAAAGGGAAAATTCATGAGATAAGGAAATTCAACTTTTCTGATTTTTTTTTTTTGGCTTTGTCATTTAGAGTATAATGATGACCAAAAGCTAACTGACCATTTCGTGCAAAGGATGATATGGACCCTATACCATTGAAATATTTTGAGCATTTCTGTAAAACTAAGAAGAGTTAAACTCTACTTTGCACATATGATCACTGTTCTAGGAAAGAGCGCTTCAGTGGGATAATTAAATTGAGGAATCCCTCCCTATTAGGTTGAGACCTCTTATTCCTTCTATTTGATTTCCTGTCCAAAGAGATTCCATTACTTCCCACCATCTCATAAAGAAATCCCCAGAGATGACATCATTGTAGTACTTACATTTAAAGCATTCTTTGCAGCTTCTGCTTCTGAGCGACTGTCAAAACTGACAAAACCTACAGGCTGAGAAAATAAAAAGAAATATGAAGAGAAAATAACTAGGAGATGTCTTATTTTTCTGGGACAAGGTTAATGCCACACTGAGGCGTTAAGTTAAAGAAATGACCACAGACAACGGTGAGACATAAGAAAACCAGTCCAGAAAAATCATGACTCAATGACTTAGTAAAATTTCTAACATGAATCAAAAGCTGGTTCTTCAAGGGCAGAGCTGGGAATTGTTTTGTTTTTTTACAAAAAAAAATCTCCCCAAGGGGTGGAAGGTGAGTAGCTGTGAACATGAGGCCAGGGAAAAACCTGGTCAGAGGCTCTGCTTTCATAAATCAAATTCTCTGTACCTCAGTATCTTCTTTTAAAAGGGAAAGACGGAACCAAATCACTTTTTGGTACATTTTAATTACAATGAATAAAAGCCCTGTCTTCTCACTGTATGAACAGGATTACAAAGCAAATATTTTAATCTGAACTCCCAAGAGAAAGTTAAAAAATTTCAGGGTTTAATTATGCATATGTACAGGGTAATGGGGTCGTAGGTGTCGGGGACAATGAAGTTGGCTCAGGATAGGGCAAGGTTCACAGCTGTTGTTCATATAGTCACTGTAAGCCATACTCAACTCAATAGCACATAACCACCACATCATTTCAGGTAAATAGAGATTACAATCCATTGAGCTCAGTATTTTGCAGTTCACATTCATGCTTTCAAAATAGCTCATTCCTGATAAACAGAAAGTGCTTGCTGAGAGATGAAAACTGAGGTGAGCGTGCTGAGGATTCAGAGGGTTTTGGTGTTGTTTTTTTTTTTTAAAGCATGTAGCTAAAAAAATTCAAGATGCTACTAGGAACTCTTAGGGTCATCTTATTCCATACCTTTTAAGTTTCATTCTAAACTTGTGACTTAGCTCATAGATATTAGAGCTCTGAAAGACAGCATGGTTCTTTATGATTTGATATTCCTATCACTTTTAAAGTTATCTATTTAACTTTATAAGAAGTAACAGGGAAAACTGGGAATACACATGAATTTGGATGATGATTAATTCACTATTTCCTTTGAAGTTTGAATATACAAGCCAATCCTAATAATTACGATTTTTCAGTATGGTTCAGTTTTTCAATCTGATTCTGTGTTTACTGTCCCTGGGGACAGCTCCAAACATTCTACCCAGAGACAGCAACTTATGAATCACTTTCCTCTCTTGATTCCTAACAGATCTCACTCCTTAGAGTAACAAGAAAAAAATCAGATTCTAATGAGAATGAATAAAGAATACTGGACTCTAAGTAAAATTCCTGAAGAAAGAGAATTTAAAGTTAACACAGAAGTGACAATTTATGCACAAGTCTGATTCTTACCTGCTTAGACGTGAGCTTTATAAGAGAACCTTCATAGCCCTGAAAATAAAGAAAAACCAAGATTAGTGGAGAAGTTCTAGAGGAAGAAAAACAAAAATGAAACATTGTTTTAAAAGTGGATTGTTAAAGTAAAAGCCGTCCCCTTTTCCTTATGACTCAGGGTGATGAAGTCTCTCTCAGGGAGGAGTGATAGGGAATGGCAAAGGATACACTGACAAAGAAGATTAATCAGAACTGGCTTTGACAAGCACTGTGGCATTTGGACAAGAACAAACTGGGAGGAGGGTAGAGAGAATAGTGCAACAATGAATGAGTGGAAGCCCAAAATCTCTGTAAATGTTTATGAAAATTAATAAAATATAATTATAGAAAAAAAAATTAAGTAAAAGCAAATCCCTTCATGAATATCTATTTCATTCTCCTCACAAATGCCTCTTGGGAAAGACTATATTTTGTTGTCCACAAGTATACTTGCAACACAGCTCATTCCTGGTGAACAGAAAATTCCTTGCTGATAGATAAAAAGTGAAGAGGGCATTTATATATATATACAAATAAATATATGTATAGCTATGTTCACATATTTACAGCCTAAAAGCCAAAGGAACATATGCAATGATGGTGAAATAATTATTGTTTCCAAGAGATAAAAGTTTTCATATAAATAGGAAAAAGAATGAGATCAATTTAATGAGAATGATTATTTGGTAAAATAACAAGGATAAACCCTACTAAAACACCAAACTCACTGCTATGAATTGATTCCAGTTTAGCAACCCTAAGAGACAGGTGTAGAAGCACCCCACAGGGTGTCTATGACTGCAACTTAAAGAAGTAGATTGCTACATCTTTCTCCCTGCAAATCATTAGTGGCTTCAAACTGCTTACACTTTTGGTTAGTAGTTGAATGCTTAACCACTGTGCCACCAAGACTCATAAAAAACATACTAGGTAGAAACTTCAAGAAGACAAAGATTCTCACCACTGGACCAATCGGCAGCATCAGGATGGATGGTGAAGAGATTGAGATTGTACACAGCTTTAGTTTGCTTGGCTCCATAGTCAACAGTCTTGGCACCAGCAGCCAGGAAATTAAAAGGCGCATTGCCATGGGAAAGTCTGCTGTTAGGGACCTCTCCAAAGTGCTGAAGAGCAGTGGTGTCTCTCTGGAGACTAAGGTGCGTCTGATACAGGCCATAGTCTTCACAATCACCTGTTATGCATCAGAGAGTTGGACAATGACCAAGGAGGATAGAAGGAGAACTGATGCCTTTGAGCTGTGGTGCTGGAGAAGAGTACTGAGAATACCATGGACTGCTAGGAAAACAAATAGATTTGTCCTGGAGAGGGTTAAACCGGGTGGCTCCTTGGAGGCAAGGATTCTGAGGCTCCGTCTAACTTACTTCGGACATGTAGTGAGGATAGACCGGTCCTTGGAGAGGGACATCATGCTTGGGAGGGTGGAGGGACGGCGCAGGAGAGGAAGGCCCTCTATGAGGTGGATTGATTCAGTGACTGGGATAATTGGGATGGGAGTGTCAGAGACAGTGCGATTGGCACAGGACAGAGCGGAGTTTAGGGCTGTTGTACATAGGGTCGCTATGAGTCGCAGGCGACTCGACGGCACATAACAACAACAACAAGGTAGAAACTATTTAGTAACACTTGAACACTGCCAACAGAAGCTGTACAGGAAGTGATACTAAATACTGGTAGTAATTATTCTGTTTACTTATTGAAGCTGCTGAAGTGCACGCTGGTATCTGGTTGGGACATGCAAAAATCCCCTGTTCAGTCTTTACTCCAGTTCATCCTGAAAGGTAGATGCAAACAGCCCCTTTCATTCCTTGCTTCCATCTAGCCAGGCTCCTCAGAAAAAGGGAAACACGTTTTCTTTATTTCTAAGAGTAATCACTGGTTGATGGCTTACACTGATGTCCCAGAAGAGGGGAGAAAGCACCACTTGACATGACAACCCACTGCACAGATCAGTGGGGAGACAGAGCTGCAGACTCAGTTGAGAATTTAGGGAACTTTAATTAAAAGAAGGATGTTAAGGAATGTCTTAGGGACCTGACTTTAAGCATTGAAGTTTCTGAACAAGGTGTTGCTGTTGCTTCATCTTCATATAAACATTTTATCTCAAAGGTTTTACTTTGGGCCAAAGAGGTCATGCTTCACAACCCTGCCTCCTTTTTCAAGGTGCTCTCTTCCGAAAACCCGAAAACTCCTATGGGCCTCAGAGGCAAAGGACAAATGGATATTTCACCCAAGTACAACAGCACAGTCCAAGGATGGCTGGGCTCTGTTGTTTCTCAAGTCACAAAGAGAGAAGAAGCAAGACCACTTAATATTAAGTCTGATCATGGACAAGAGTCAGAGGGTTCCACAGGGTTTGAATCCTGGCTCTGCTATTTATTATACATTGTAAACATAAGCAAAATTTAGCCAGCTCTCAAGTTTTGATTATCCTCCTTTGGAAAAAAAGACAATGAGGCTAATCAATGCTAAAGGACTGTGGTGAAAATTAAATGAAGTGATTAGTTAAGTGTTTGCTGAAGCTCTCTTATAAATACAAAGGCAAAGCAGTACTTTTCGGTTCGTGTTGTTACCATGTGCCCTCAAGTTGATGACAATTCACAGTGACTCTACGAACGAAAGACTGGGACCTTGTCCTATCCTGCGTCATCCTCAAAATGCCAGCCATGCTGGAGTCTGCTGTTACAGTCACTGTGTCACTCCATTGTGTTAAGACTCTTTCTTTCTCTGACCTTCCACCTTTCCCAGTAAGATGTTTTTTCCAAAAATTTGTCCCTCCTGACAACATGCCCAAAGTATGCAGACCATATTTCACCATCATTGTCTCTAAGAAGCACCCTGGTTGCACTTTCCCCAAGACATATTTGCTTATTCTTCGGATGGACTATGGGTTATTCAGTACCCCTTGCCAGTTCCACAATTCAAAGGCATAATTCGTCTTTGGCCTTCCTTGTTCATTGTCACAAATTCTTTAAGATTTTTCTATTAGAAACACCAATTAACTTAAAAAAATCATCACTCTACGAAGGTAAGACAGTAAGAGCTGCTACTCTGTAGATGAAACACAGGAAATTCTATAAAGCTGGCCTTCTCTCCACACATGCCTTCTTTTCTACTTCCTTGCAGCAAACCTGGCATTCAGCATCCTTGGTGTCTTCTGTGCCGGCATCAGTACTCACTGTTGTTACAGTCAGGGGATGAGTGTCAGAGTGGAGTTTTATCTACTATTACATGATGTCTTCTTGGCACATTAGCTAGAATCTTATTATTGTTGGTTGTAACAAGCTTCCTCCACCCAGGTGTTTTCAGCTGTTGCTCTCTCTTCCCTAAAGAATTAGTTCCTGTCCCTCCACTTGCCCTTCCTCTGGCTGGGGACCAGCTTCAAGTAGGATGGATCTTTAAATAGAAATCAAGATGGCATATCACCTAATCATAATGATCTTTTAAAGTGCTAGGCAGTGCTGGTGACATGCCCTCCTAGTCCCCGGCCCTGAACACCTACCTCCCAGGCCCACAGTCGGCCCACTGCCAGCTCACTTACTCCTTTTTTCCAAAGGCTGACCTTCAAAGGCTATTCTACGGCGACATAATTATTTTAGCTTTATGCCAACTTCCTGTTAAGTTTTCAATCCCGTTAGCATTAAGTATCTCAAAAGTTATTTTATTTCCATGGTTACCATGGACAAGCAGTTAAATTCAGTATTTCATTACGTACCAGGGAAAATTCCCCTCAACTCAAATTAAGATATGCTCTGAGATTTTGTTTTTACTTTGTTTGAAGCTTGGGATATTTTTTCCCATGGTAAAAAGAACTGTGAATAGGTTCTTGGGTTAGTTCATCAAAGCCTATTTAACCTATTATGCTCCCAGAGAATAGTGCTAACATCACTGTTTGAACAAATAAGAACGCCTCCGAGATATCGAGGGAGTTCTACTGGCCTAGTGGATGAGGAATTGTCCTACTAATCCAAAGACATTTGAATCCATCAGCTGCTCTGATGAAGAAAGATGGACAATCTCCTCCTACACAATTTACTGTCTCTGAAAACCTGCTGGAGGAGCAGCTGTGAGTTGTTTCTGATGGATGGCATGTAACACACCACCCCCCCATCTCCCCAGGTACAGGGCTCAACCTAAGCTGTTGCAACTGATACATAAATTTTAATTATAATATTATAGATGATGTGTACTCAAAAGCACAGTCCTAAGTGCAGTAAAACAAAAGGGGAGGATACTAAAATTGTTCTAAGTGGAATATACAGAGTTGGGCCTGATTTCAAGTGCCTATCAGTCAAAGAAGAGATTTCTGTAGTCAATGCAGGACAAAAGACTGTCGCAGGCTTCCCTAACTAAGAATATGTAAGTTAAGTTCCCCTTAATGATTTTTTTTTTTAAAAACAAACCAGTAAATCAATAATAGGGTGCTCTGGTGGCCAATAGGTAAGGAGTTGGGCTGCCAACCCAAAGGAAGGTGGTTCAAATCCACCAGTTGCTCCAAGGAAGAAAGCTGGGTAATCTTCTCCTGTGCAGTTTATTGCCTCTTGAAAACCCACTAGAAAGTCAGCTACGAGTCAGTTCCAACTTGATAACAAATAACAGCAACAACAAAGACAAATAGGTAAGAGATACATATAAAGATGGGTGAAAGGAATGGCAATAAAACTGATGGGTGATCAGCACAACAACCTGATGAGAGAGGTGTGTAAGTGAGAAGAGTTCAGGTGCAACACAGAGACTGTGATTAATGTCCCAACCAAATATGAACCAATGGTTGAACAGAAAACCAATCAAACCAAAACTTTCAATCAAACCACAGTGAAGGGAAAGAAGCAGTATGAGGGCACTTCCGGGGTGATAAAATGTTCTCTCTTTTGACTGGTGTTGCAGTTACATGGCAGTTCATATGTATCAAACTCATTTGTGTATTGTATTGTATGTAATGCATCTCAGAAAAAAGGAGGTTTTTTATAGAGAATTAATTATGCTTCAAGGAAAAGGGAATATGTGCATTGCAATTAAACAGGTCAAAAACATAAAGATTGTTAGTCCATGATAAAATCAAACTTGAGAAGCTGTAAGAATACATAAATAGGTGATTGCATAGTTGCAAATGCTGAAGTATACTTGAAATAAAAAAAAAATTCAGACATTGGTATTTAAATAATCATCTGATATAATAACAATATAAAAAACAATTAAGAAACCCCCACATCACTTTATAAGGTGTTTTCTCAAATTTTTCATTTGTTCCTAAAAACAAAAACAACCTTAGAAGTACAAAATACAAAAAGCTTTTTGCATTCTTTTACATTTCGAAAAGACAGAAAAAAAGTACCTTAAATGGTCTGAAAAGCAGGTAGAGCTCACGGGGTTTGATATCCAGAGGAAGACCACTGACAAACAGGGTCCGAACCTGAAAAAAGACATTTTAGAAGTGGTCACAGAAGTGGACAACACAACTCATAATGTAAAAATCATTTCACCAAATATTCCATGACACCTATCTAACTGAATCTGTATCCATAAACATAAACAAGGCAATGGTAAAATGTCACTGAGCCAACTCTTGCACATTTCTTTGTAGATTATTTGAAGTGAATTACCACTAGCTAATTTCCATTTCTCCACCAGGATGGGAGTCTGTTGTACACTGCTGGCTTGCATGTTGTTCTGTTACTGGAACTTACTTAACTAGTATTTCAAATAGCAGCAAGGTCACGAATAGAGCACTGGCTTCAGCAAAGCTTCCAGACTAAGTCAAGTTTGGCAAAAACAAATTTACAAAATTCATCTGAAAACTCTATGGATCACATTAAAATATTGTTCAATACGGTGGCAGGTGATGAGCCTGTGAGGTTAGGGGGGACAACAGTGATGGCACCTAACACCCTCACAATAACCACAAAGACTCACACACATCAATTATCAAACAGATGGCACAGAATTGAGCCACACTGCCTTCTTCCGTATGTAAGGTTACCTGGACTCATCAACTAACAGGGTTTTAAATGGAGCTCTGGTGGCCTAGTGGCAAGAAGCTGCACTGCAATGACAGAGGCACACAGTTCAAAACCACCAGGTGCTCTGCTGGAGAAGGAGGAACAATCTCCTCCTGTACCAGTCAGATCCAATTTGACGGTACACTCACACACACACACACACACACACACACAAATAAAAATTCAAAACAAAACAAAACAAAACAAAACAAAAATCTAACAGGGTTTTTAATTTACTTAATGACGTTCTTTTCCAAATAGTCATCACTATTATTCACCATCGCAAGAACATGGAAACAGCCCAAATATCCAACCACAATTGAGTGGGATGGAATACAATGCAGCACGCAGGAGCAATGATTCTGAAAATCACTACATAACTTGGGAGGGAGTGGAGAGCATTAGGCTAAGTGAACTAAGCCAGTCCCATCAGGACAAATACTGTATAAGACCATTATTGTAGAATGTGTAGGTAGATGGATCCAAGGTGGGAAGAGGGGGGAACAGAGAGGTATGGATGGGAGGGTAGGGTGGTTAATCATAGGGTTGCACAATCTGATGGGTGAAGGGAAGGGTGGGTAAAGGAAATGGGAAAGATCTGGTGTGAAAAAAAACAATGTATAAGAACTTTGTAAGTAAACCCGTATAAAATAAAAATTTTATTTAATTTTTTTTAAATGGCTTAGTTAAAAAGGGGGGGAAATGTGCAGGAGGTTGCAGAAAATTTAATTAGCTACACACACACACACACACACACACACACACACACACACACACTTCAGGGCAGTAAACAGGCTATTCCTAATTATATAACATACATTTTAAAAGAGAAAATAGAAACAATTTTCGATTATCACTGCTCATAATGCCAGCTTGTAATTGCTTCCCTCACTGACATTGATAACTAAAACAGTTTTGATCAATAAGAAAATACAATTCAAACAAAACTAAGTAGCTGCCTGTTCAATCCCAAAAGAACAGGTCAGACTGGTTGACTGGTGCTCCTATTCTATAGGACAATCAACATGTAAAGACTCACTCACTCACACATGGAGTCAAAACAGACTCACAGCTGACCCTCCCCAGTGGTGGTGGATTCAAACTGCCAGAAACGCGCTGCCTTTAGGACAGCAGTGCAATTCCATGCAGACTACACCACCACTTACTCACTCATTGACATGTAGTTAGAACCAACTCATAGCGAACCCTCCAGTAGGGTTTCAGAGGCTAGAAACTGAGTGGAAAGAGATTGTTCATCTTTCTCCCACAGAGCAGCAGGTGGATTCAAACTGCCTTTGTTCGGATAGGCACTACCGACTCCTTACCCACTACACCACCAGAGTTCCCTAGGAAACCCTTTGAAGCATTTCTGCTGTCACATTATGTCATGGTTGAAAGTGACTTCAGAGAAAACAAATGATAATGTAACACAAACAACAACAACTGCTGTTCTATTAATTCTTACTCAAGAAAACTCCATATACGCAGCAGACAGAAATTTCTTTATTCTCACTGTTCTATTTCCACTGACTGATCTAGCTTCCCTTCCACTCCATGCCGCCTTTGCATCTGGGTCAATGTTAACTGCTTGTTTCATATAACTGATAATTTAAAGGGACTCATTATTCATAGGTGCTACTGATGATTAAAAAAAGAAAGTCTATTATTTGGCTGACAAGTGACCTGGAGAAATTAATTCTAGGCAGAAAGTCTTGAAGATTTTTCTAATAGTTCAAGGAGATCATATTTTCTTTAGGTATTTGAGTTTCAATCTAGATTTTTATTCTATCCAGGACCTTCTAATATGTCCTGGGTCAGAATGATTGGTAGCATAAACCGACTTAGGGAGCCCTGGTGGCCTAATGGTAAGCAGCTGTGTTGCCAACCCGAAGGCACGTGGTTTGAATTCACCAGATGCTCTGCTGGAGAAGGAGAGTCAGTCTCCTGTGCCAGTCAGATCTGATTTGATGATACACAACAAAAAAAAGGGGGGGGGGGAAACATTTAAAAAAGTAAACCTTTAAAAAGCCCTCAACCCACTGAAAGGTTGGATGGCATATAACAACAATAACATAAGCAAGACTGGTAGTATATAAGCTGGTCTAAAGTTAGGAGAAGCTGTGGTTCATGTGGGTTATTAATCTTGTGAATGAATTTCTTCTTTGAGTTTATGTCCTTCATTTACTTTTGTACCATAAATAAAGGACAATAGTTGTGGTTGCTCACACGCTTTAAAGTGCTTAGATACCACTCATCAAACTAGCATGTCCTAACTCTTTCAGTCCTGTAAACCAAGCCAGGGAGTTGTCTGGATGTGTCTAGAAGTCTCCATTACTCTATTCCTCTACTGGGCTGAATTTTGTCCTCCAACGTACATAAATGTTGTTGCTGTTTCCATGTGCTACCAAGTCAACTAGGATTTACAGCAATCCTATGAACAACAGATCTAAACTTTGCCCTATTCTCAATCTCTATCACCCTCAAATCCATTGTTACAGTCACTGTGTCAATCTATCTCCTGAAGGTCTTGCTCTTTCATAGACTACCTTTCCTAGCATTGTTTCCTTTTTCCAAGAACTGTCCCCTCTCGACAACACACTCAAAGTAGGTAAGCTGATGGTTCACCAACCTTACCCCTAATGACCATGGTCATTTAAATAATTTGCTTTGCATTTGAGAGCTAAGACAATGAACAAGGAGGGCAGAAGTCTCTTTAGAATTCACTTTGAATTTTGGGCAGCTCTTGTCCTAGCCATTTTTAAGTCTTTAACAAGATTCTACTTGCATGTGAGAGGACCTTTATTTGCTAATTTGGCACTTGGAATGAGAAGAAGCAGCTGTTAACAAAAAACAGTCTCAAACTAATTTGAAAATATTATCAACATAACGTTTATTTTTAAAAAATAACATTCAGTAAGATTTTTTTTATATTATTAGTATCACTCATTCACCCATTGGCATCAAGTTAGAACCAATTCATAGCTGACCCTCCAGTGGATTTTTGGAAGACAGCCTGCGCTATGCAGACGACACAAACTTGCTTGCTGAAAGTGTGGCAGACTTGTAGTACTTGCTACAGAAGATTAAAAATTACAACCTTCCATATGGATTACATCTCAACATCAAAACTACAAAAATCCTCACCACATCATGACAGATGAAGAAAAGATTGAAATTGTTAGCGACTTCATCTTACTTGGATCCACAATCAACACCCATGGCACCAAGGTAAAGTCAGCCATCAGAAACCTCTCCAAACTAGGGTGCAAGATGTCAGGTTGAGTACAAGTGTACATGATTCAAGCATGGTCTTTTCAATTACATGATATATCTGAGAGCTGGACAATGAATAAGGATGACAAAAGAATAGATGCCTTTGACTTGTGGTATTGGAGAAGAGTACTGAATAAGCCCAGGCACTGCCAAAAGAACAAACGGATACATTTTGGAGAAGGTGTAGCCAGAATGCTCCTTGGAAGCAAAGATAACCAAGGTTCATCTCAAATACTTTGGCAAGTTGTTAGGACAGACTATTCTCGGGAAAGGGACATCATGTTTAGGAGGGTGAAGTGTTGAAAAAATGAGGAAGACCTTTACCCAGATGGACTGATACAGTGATTGCAGCAATGGGTTCAAGTATGTCAGAGACTGGAAGACACTACAGGACAGGACAAGGTTAAGAACTCTTGTTCGCAGGGCCACTGTAAGTTGTGCTTAATCAATACTCAAGTCAAGAGTACCCCAAAACAACAATAACAACACAGAAGGAACACCCTGCTGGCACTTCCTCCAAGACAGATTTGCTTGTGACAAAGTAACATCATACCATCTGCAGATGTTGATGATTTTTCCTCCAAATCTAATGTCACATTTCCCCCACCCCATTTAGTACAGAAAGTCAAGTGATCTGTTCCCCAAACAGGCTGAACAGATATGGAGAAAGCATACTGTCTTCATGCATACTTTCCCTGATTTTAAACCAGGCCATTTCCCTTGGCCTATTCAGGCAACTGCTTCTTGGTCTATGTATATAGGTTTCCCATGAGCACAATTAAGTGTTCTGGGATGCCCATACTTCTTAATGTTACTAATAATCTGTTCAATCCACATACTCAAATGCCTTTGTATACTCAATAAAACATGAGTAAATCTCTTTTCGTTATTCTTTGCTTTCAATCAAGATCCATCTGACATGTGTAATGATATCAATCAATCCACACACACCATGTCCAAGCATGACGTACCTCTCCAGGGAATAGCCTCTTCTAACAACTCGCCAAAGTATGTGAAAAGCTTTGTCATCTTTGCCTCCAAGAAGCACTGTTGTTGTAGCTATCTCCAAGACATATATGTTTATTCTTTTGGCAGTCTCTGGGCTATTCTGTACTGTTTCCCAACACCAACTCAAAGACAT